CACTTCTCCACCTTTTCCTGGAGCTTTTTCTGGGTTTCAGGGTTGTTGTTCTCCAGCTTGCTGTTGCTTTCCCTGCTGGCTGCCAGCTTCTCGTCTTTACATGCCGCATGATAAGATTTCTTCATGGTCTCCACCTGTAGAAACAAGTAATCACTTATAAACTACACACTAGTTCAAGTAGAAATAACTGGGACTGAACCATCAACTGCGAAACAAATCAAGGATTATTAAACGCACCTGGATGCTGCTCTTACCAAATTGGAAGATAAGACACGGAGTAAAAACCTGCATATTCCTTTGTGATGTTATTCAGAGGAAATTGACTTTTAAATCACTGTTTATGTTCATCTCACGTCAGGTGATAAGGAATGAGGAACCAGACTTTCTGGCTTTGTTCTATTGACTAACAGCAGAACATTTAACTGGGACCAAAGCCAGAAGAGAATTACCCTCCTTCAGAAACCTGTAGACTGACTGTAAGACAGCTAAGGGCAATGGTTACCAAATAATAATATATACAAATATATTAATGTAACGTAATGAATGTTCTTATTGTTGATGTTACAAAATTTTCTTGATAAATGTGTGTCCAAATGTGTGGACGTAGGGATAATTACAGAACAAAAATACGAACCCTCACAAACACTAATTTAATTCTACATGTACGCTCTGGATCTGCTCATGTGTATTATTGAATTTCTGTCTGCGACACCAGTGTCTGCTGCTCATTTTTCAGACCAGTTAATTAGCCTCATTTCCTCCCCTGCCCCCCCGCCTCTTGTCAATCAATTCATCACCATGGCCACACTACAGTGTTGTCGGTCTGTGCTCACTGGCAGGGCCAGGATGTCAAAAGCCTGTGACGACATCAAACACACACACACATAGACAGACACGTACACGCACGTGTGAACGCACACACACAGGAAACAGCAAAGGAAAAATATTTCACAAAACATCCAGTGGCACAAAAACAGTTGCCTCTGCACGAGTGCAGCAGAACAAACACAGACTGAATGGAATGTGAGAACTGACAAGCAAACACTACCTGACTGACACTAACTGAACACATTTTTCTAGGAAACGCGTAGATCTCCCGTCTACTGAGAAGGACGGGCTGACTGGTTGCTCTTGGTCTGACAGAGCTAACTTCAAGATTACAACAGCACATGTGCTGCTCTGTTGATCAGTGAGCAGGTCGCCATGGCGAGAAAAGAAACAACGATGACTCAGTCGTTGTGAAGTGAAATGTTAAAAGTGATTATTAGGGCTGTAAAGACCAGTGTGGAATATTCACCTGCTGGTTCTGACTGTTTGAGTTCTGATTTCAAAAACACAACTGATGAGAACTACGTGCTGTGACTGAACGTCACTGCAATAGTTGTTTCCCCCATTTTGTGGTCTTAATGTGTCAGATTTAGAGGAAGAGACACATTGGTCTGTGAGGGAACTCCCTGTAGCATTTGTTGCCTTATATCAGAAATGCAGCTGAACGCAGCAGAGAACACAAATAAACCACAGGACGGACTTTTGACTGGTGAAGCCTGGCACATACAGTACATTGAACTGTTGTTCTTGGGTTTTTTGATTACACTGACTGCCATCCCAGGCTCAGACTGCTCGGTGATACGTTTGACCAGGAAGTGATCAGCATTAGAAGAGGTTTTGAAACGAGACAATCAAGTTTCACTACTGATTTCCACTATTTAGGCCATTACTATAAGTAACCAGATGAGCACAGGTATCTGTGTGACCAAGACGAAGGTTTCACTGCAGGCTAAAATAGCCGATCTGTGACAGTATTAACAGCAAAAATTATTGGTGATGTCTTTTTATTGGTGTCACTTCAAGGCCACAGACTGTTCAACTATCTAAAAAACAAGTATAATATTTTGTGCAAATTTTGTTCTCCCCACATTTTGACGACAATGAAATCCAACATAACCCTTGATGATGTAAATAAATCTTTACAGGGGAAAAATAAGCATCGGTGGTAAAAAAAAAAGTTGTTTATTATTAAATTGCTCAGAGCGTGCTAAGTAAAAACCACTACCTCAGTGGGGAAGATGTAGGCATAAATACAAGTCTTGAACTCTGACCTCTTTGAGTTTCTTGGCCCAGGGTTTCTGAGCCTTGCGGAAGCCGTCCTCTGCCTCTTTTGTTTCCTTGAAGCCTCCGATCATCTGTTTATGGAAGGCGTCTTTCTGCCAGTTTTTGATCTTCTCGTAGTCTTCGCCCATCAGTGCGGCCTTCACCTCCATGTGGAGCTCGCTCACCTTCTCCGCTTCTGTGCACAGCGCAGACCAGGCCCTCTCCAAGGTGCCGTACTGAGGACCTGGAGCGAAGAGTTTGTCACCAGTTAGTGGTTGAAGAGCAGAGTGGAAAATGTCATGTCACAATGAAACGGTACAATGAAAAGTAATAACAATTATATATATATATGGATGTGCACCTTTCTCTATCAGTTGCCGCCAGCGTTTGCCCCATTCTGTGAGCTGCTGTGCGTAGGACTTCTCAATACGTGCCCGCTCATGAAGACAGGTCATCAGATCGTTAGCGAGGCGGTGGCCATCGTCGACGCGTTTCACTGTACGTTTGTAGTTACCAACCTGACACAAATCAGCAGAGACAAACATGTTAAAATGTCTGGTAAAAACTTTATATATTTATATAATAATAGATCTGGATGTGAAGTTGGGTCTTACCTCCCAGAAACTATCACTGGAGACATCGATCATGGAACTGTTGCAGGACATTGTTACGGCCCTAAGTTAAACCAGTGTCAGGGCCTGGAGACACAGAAGGACACATGCAGACTTTTTTTCAGAGAGAGTCACAAACATAATTGCAACATCCGAGGAAACATGACAAATGTCCTGAATTTCTTCAAGTTATGCAAACACAAAATGTGCTGAATAAGTATTAAGCAACCCTAGGAGTCTTCTGTTACATGAATATCATGGTTTTATATGGGGCCGACTGTTGGTTTCAAAGTTTCGGTGAAACCCTGTCCTCAACAGTATGAATCAGTCCAGTGTCTCACAATCACAATCCATTGGACAGTCAGCTGAAGTTGACTGGATAATAGAAGAACGATAAGTTGGATACATTTATTGGACAAACAGTCTAATAAAATGCATTTAAAATTTAAGTCTGATTAATCTCCACAAATCAATCTAAAGCGTCCATTCTGATGGTGGTAATTTTAAAACATTCAGTGCACACAAATGTTACTTGGTTATCTACTGTAGCACTGGCAAATTTTAAGGCGTCACGATTTCACAAAGCGAAACTGTGTGCATCAGATATCATCTCCATCAAGAGAATTAATAGAACAAATGGGTGAAAGTGAAAGTTTGTGATCAGGTTTGATAGCGAGAGCCACAAACCAATAGCCATTTCACATCCCTAACCCTCGTCGCCCTTAACTAACTGAACTCAAACCACAGGTAGTCACAAACGCACCACAGTTCAGCTGGGTTCACACAAATGACTGAATTAAGTGATTCTGAAATGCTGAGAGAAAAAAGAGACTGCACTCAGTGGGCAGCTTCCGTATCCTTCACACTGGCTCCACAGACAGTTCTCTGTTCTCCTCCTCTGCCCTCACATCCATCATTTCAAACGTAACGCTCCCTTAAAACAGTCTCTCTTTATTCCTCTCCTCCATCCTCTTTCACTCCGTTTATGTTCTCATTCTTTTTCCTTTTCATTACAAATCAGCATGTCTGTCTCATCCTCACAGCACAGTGATATACTTTACTGAAGCATCGTTTACCATCCATCTAACTGACGACATGTCACAGCTGCACAAAGTGCTTTTACGGTTTGGTAAACAAACAAATCTTTTTGGTCTAAACTTTTCTGCATAATTTAGATCAAGATGAATTCTAGGTGTTAGACATGCATCAACTGGGGGCGCCACAGCCCCTGATTGATCATGGAGGTGTCAAAACTGGGATGCACTAGGGACAAATATTCGGTCCATTACGGGGCAAAAAATTAATACTCTCATCCAGGCCAGGTTATGGATAAATGGCGGACATTTAACATTTTACTAAAACAATTCAGATAACAGTTGTGTCCAATGGAGACAAACTGCAGTTGACAATACAAGCTCGGCAAGTGACCACAATTACTATTACAACCAATATCTGACCGTCTCAGAGGACAGGAAATGATAAGATTGTGTTCAGAGAACAGACGTTCCCTTGTGTATTACTGCGTTGGTCAGTGATCTGATGGTCATGGCTCATGCCCTCAGGGGCAGGTTTTAGACAGAGGGTATATTGTCATCACCATAAGACCAAAGAGGCAGAAGAACAATCTTCTGTTCAACAACACTTGTAGTTCAGCAAGTTTCAAAGTGTAAACTGTATCAATCAAAGTGTTTCTTTACTAAACATTTGCTTTAAAAACACTGCAATGTAATTTAAGTATTAATAAGGTAGGACTTTTTTAAAATTAAATTATATCTGAATGCATACAAAGATCAAACCATATCCAAACAAGGCTTTCCTGCCTCTTCTGACTTTTCCTCCAGCAGCTGTCAACATTCTTTTTTCACCAAACAGGAACATGTGACGGAACAAGCCACAAATGCCAAATCTAAACATGGCAACAAGGTTCTCACATCAGAACCACTTCCACAATGTGCAGATTAGCACTAACTCATATGAACCACATGTCCTGTTCCTTTTTAGACACACAGGAAGGAAGAGCTGACACTGACAGAGTGGATTATCGGACAACACATGTGGCAGAATGGCCTGTGACTTTGAATCCAATAGTGATGAGTGTTCACTTATACAACAATTTTATCATTACTGAAAAAGGACACTCAGAGATACTGGACTGTTCTCCCTGTGACAGCTGCAGGGAGAACACACCTCAAACTCACACACACGCCCTACACAAATGTACTTCCTTAAACATTTGCGCGTGACATCATGTCTTTTTCTGTGCATCTGCATCATTCAGACTGTAGACTGTTCACACTTGAGCCTTACTGCGGTTGCCTCTCAATTATAACGTAAACAAACACATGTAAAAATTGAGCTCAGACAAAAATCACGATTGTCCTGCAGTGTGAATACAACCCCAAATTTTTGATCTTTAAGAGAATGTTTTAAAATAAGTGAGCACAGAAATAAGATTTTTGATCTTTAAGAGAATGTTTTAAGATAAGTGAGCACAGAAATGCAGACAGTGAAAATGTTGTTCCTTGCGTCAGAACAGTGTTTTGGAAATTCATCCAGCACAAAGGCCCTTTCCCATGTCTGATATAATCATAAGCAAACAGGAACAAATGTCTGCACACCCTTGGAATATGAGGGACACACACTGCTAACAATTGAATGTGGATTGAACCAGAACTGCAAACAATGCTGTGGACTAAGCTGTGGTCTAAAGTCCACAAATACTGTGTCACTGCAGGGGTGGAGAGAATGCTGGAGAATTCAGCACAGCAGCAAAAGACACAAGAGAACAACCTGTACTGTAGATAAACAACAACATAAAATAAAAAATCTAATGTAATGTTATTGTCAAATAAGTATTAAGTGACGCATTTTTAAAAAAGATAATTATGCCCTGAAATCAACTCAATGATTTTATCAAGGTTGTAGAAACCTGGGGTTCTAACGATTACAGTGTTAGAGATAAAGTAATCAAAGCTAACAATGATAGCCACTGAAAGACGATACGTAAATGGACTGAGCTGTGCTGGAATTTAGCCTCTGAAGGCAGCCTCAAGACACAAGCGAGTGGACACATTCCTGAATGGCAGCGCTCTGAAACTAAACTTTACCAAAGTGAGCCAGTTCAAACACAGTCATTTCAGATTCAATACACGCAAAATAATTGTTTACAATAATCTTAGCAAAGCAAGAGGTGCTAACCCAGTCGCTGCCCTGTGTTTTGCAGCAGCAACAGCAAGCCGCAGCCTGGCTGCAACAGCTGACACAGTGAGTGCAAGGAAAAGGTGACAATGTGTGTTATTAAAGGCACATGACGGCCACTCAACCTGAGTCACGTCTCAGCGAAGTGCACAAAAGACTATTACAGTACTGCAGGGGAGGGGGCCATCCAAGAAAGACTTTGACAGTAGATGACCAGTGTACAAGGGCTTACTCTTTCTCACAAACCACTCTGTCTGTGTTTTGTTTTTCTCAAAGTGCTTGGGGCAGTGGGTTGTTGCACACAGACAGTGTTAGAAGTGACGCTGGGAGGCAGGAAACAACATGACATGTGTTCCAAAGAGTTGATGGGAGCATGCCCTTTTGATAGGCCTGTCCTGCATGTGTGCACTTGTTTATACTGAGGGGTGAATAATGTAAACACAGCACCAGGAGAGCAATCTGGCTGGTCACCGGCTGAACACAGGCTTCAGAAATTATCACTTCCCATCAGCAAGAATGATGTTGTTTGGGCTTGAGTGGATGGGTGGAGAAGAAGTCACTGGAGAAAATGTTTGGAGTTAAATGCGCAATCACTCAACCTCAACAGTCAATATGCCTCTGGTAAAATCACCAGTTTCTAGAGATGGGAAACAGGGCTGTAAACAGAGATATCCTTGGGCTGCAGTGTTATATTTTTGATTCCTGTGGAATCGGAAGAAAGCTACGAATTCTCAAACAAATGTTTAATGTTACGAAAAACTAACGCAATGTTCCTACAGTCAAAAATAATTATTTAAAAGTTTATTATCTTGAAAAATTTGGAGAACTTAATCAAATACTGATAGTATGTCCACAGAACACAAATTTCTTCAGTACTGAATGTTTGTTAAATACAACAGTAGCAGATAAAAAAACAATGTCATGACACCAATACTGGTTGACGTCATCAATTATCTTGTTTTGTCTGAACAGCCCATAACCCAAATATTGGAACCAGCAGGACTTTACACTGTGTCTTTGTTTTAAAGTGAAGTATCTAAACATTGGATTATTGGCGCCTGTTGATCTCTTTTCTGCAGATATAAAATGATAGTTTATGTACTTTCTTATCGGTTGTTGAGGCATTATCAGCCAATGGACTAAGATAGATTGACCGATAATGGTCAACCTATCATGAAATGATCAGACACCCTTCAGTCTCCTTGTGTTTCTGACATCATACTGCTCCTGTCGAAGCAGAGCCATTAGCACGTGGTAATAAAACTTGTCAAGACAAAGACAGACAGTATAAACACTTGTCAAAATACTCCTAACTACATTGTCTGTGCTCCAGTTACAGTAGTCCCCCCTCCATAACCCTCCAATAATCTCAGTTTGCCATAAAGCAACAACCTACACACAAATACCAGCTGTGCAGTTCATGGAAACTTCATGACGACACAGTGATTACATAAAAGCTAAGCTGGAAACATGTGCTTTCAGACAAAAATGGCTTATTTAACCCTGGGTGTTTTTGGTACGTTTCCATTTCCTTCTTTTGTCGCATTATAAGCCTGCAATATCTCACAGGAAGAAAGTGCAGCTGAGCTGATGTAGTCCTTCATTATTGCCATATCAGAGCAGGACGTTACTTAATCCCAACTGTGCTGTGAAAGAAAAGAAAAACCAGTCATACCCCGCTTCTTTCTTACAAACAAACTTGAAGGTCAGAAGTTTCCATGGCCACTGCAGGGCACGACCTTGTTTCTTACCTTTGGCCTCCTTCTTAAATGTGTGCTCAGCAGCTGCACTCAACAGCAGATTCTACCAGAACATGGCATTTAAATGTGGAATAATCTCTCTCTGATGGACTTCCTACTACAGGACCTTCATAGAATTAACTGTTAAGAGTTTATTGAAATAATTGAAAGACTTAAAATACAGGACAATAAGACTGGTGATCCAACAAATCCAATGCCAACATCTATTGTATAAAGGGCTCAAAAGCCCTTTTGCTACACAACTCGGGACAAACAATGGAATTTGTTCCACACTTTCAGGCATTTTCCACTGGAAACGCCAGCAGCATGTCGAGAGACATAATAGAGGGAAATTGAGTATTATATGACAGGAAAGGGGGGGATCCTCACATCACCACAGGCAAACACTTAGGTGAGGTATTTCAAGCTGCAGACCTCTCAGGGAAGTACCTTGAAGGCTGTTCATCCATGAAACCTATGACATATAAGGCTGTGTCCGTCCTGGTGACAGATGAATATTAGACAGACTGACTCTAGGTGTGGGGCCATCCTGGGATTTACAGAACATATTAGAATGTCTGAAAATAGGTTTCTCATGCTGTTTGCTTACTGCCTGGGTTGTTGGCTCAGTCTGTCCTGTCTTGGCCAGACTTGATGTGACCTTTTTATCATTTACTTTTAAGCCATAAAAAGCCTTGCTCTGGGTTATTTAAAATAACTTCCAGTACCTAATAAATGTTCCTAATCCCTGAGAACCACAAATGGCCCATTACTGGTCTAGACTAGACTGAGATGAAGAGCCTTTGCAGTCCTGACTTCTAGACTACGGAATGACCTGTCACTTTTAAACCAACTTCTTAAAAATGTGGTGGATCAATTATTTGTTTGTAGGGTCTTAATTAATGTTTAAGTGCTTTGTAATACGGTGTAGCTATAAACTATCTGACCGATAAACTATGAAGTAGTAGTCGTCAATAAAGTCTTTCATCAGTTATAACAGTAAATATACAAATTAGGTTTATATTTTTAGTTCTGTTTGAGTTTAAGATGTTATTACCAACAGGACTCACCAAGACTACAGACAGGACCCACCCATGAAGAACTATCTCACAGGCAGAAGAAGAAAAAAAACCTCAATTGAAATACACAGTCTAACTTTAACTCCGCTCTGACTGTGACACAGTTGAGGTCTCCATCAGCACCCACCCCCAACAGGAACCAGCTGCCTTTTCACATGACTTTCACTACTGCTTTATTCTGAAAGTACAATGCATCTCCACGTCCAGACCCCACAGATGTAAAACTACATCAATGTTCCTCACGCTCAGCACTGGTTGGAATTGTACTACAGTTGTAGTATTATTGAAACATCAAACACTGCCACAAGTCATGTACAATAGTAGCTAGCAAGACTACACATTACGTTCAAAGCCAGACCTTTAAGTTGTGACATTTTCTCTACCCCCTCTACGGTCACATGACTTACAACTGTCATTGTGCAATAAGAATACAGTAAAAACATTAACCCAGGATTATAGATTCCATACAGGAGACTAGGTACAACTCTGCAGCTTGCTTGTACTGAGCAAATCACTGAGAGTAATGATACAACTGACAGCTCAGATAATACAGCAGAACTCGACCCTGAACACTTTTCTATAAATTAACTCATAGACTACGATGTAGGCTTAATAACAGCACGAGGACATGGTATATGGACACAGAGTTTATCTTTGGTTGCGGAATCTGCCACACCCATTATCAGCTCAGGCAATGAAACACCAGGGGAGAAAAGTACATTGCTGTGGTACAACTAAATATTTAGGATCAAACTACTTATTCTAGACAAAATAATCTGGTTCACCACAACCCGGAGATTGACATTTGTTATAAAAGAATTGTATTGAGTACGACATTAGCCATTGGACAGACACAGCTGAAGTCCCTCCACTGGAAAGCCCATTCGCCTGTCTTATAACGTGTATAAAGTGTAAATGACATAAATTAAACAATGTCTTTACACTGCAGTAATACCGTCTGGTTTATTTTACGTATGGAAGAAAATCTGCCATTTTGTAGCACACTAATTGAACTCTCTCTTCCTAGCTTTAGCAAAGTAGCCGCTGCCGCCAGAGTGATAGAAAGTTAATAAATGTAGAATATAAAAGTCTCGGACTAAACTTACCTGATTTGTTTAATCCCCTTAATTGTTGATGTTGTAATTATATAACTCAGTCTTCTCTGTGTTGATTTAAAAAAAAAACCCAATCGCTCCTTTCTCCGCTCAGCAGCGGCACCACCGACTAAGTGACTGGGACACTGCAGTGGTGGAGTCGTGGTGAGGGCTATGCAGCACTTCCGGTTAGGGTTTTCAAAATAAAACAAAATTTGTATAATGATGTATCGGACAAGTTAAATTTAAGTTAACTTATACTGTAAATAGAATATATTGCTACTTTTAACAAACATTTTTGTGTTATTTACCTAAATGCAAAATAAGTTCGATTAAAGTAAGAATTTAGTTATTTCAAGGTTATTAAAATTATTTGTAATGTGGTGTGAAATGAATATCAATAGAATATCTACTCATATTCAAGTAATACTTAAATTAAAAAAATAAATAATAAGTGGTGTAGCAACGAATGATTCAATTAAAAATTGTTTCAAATTTGCTTGTCATGCCTGAATCCAAACTTGACACAAAACGGAAGTGGAATCTATTGTGTAACAAAAAACTGATGAATTTTATGTAAACTGTGAGGCGCGCTTCTCTGACGTCAGATCCCTTTCACAAAACTTTTTGGGGGGGGCCACTTTAGCCAACAAAAACGGAATTGTTCTCATCAGGTAACGCCTGATCAAATGATCTAATCAAACGAACAGATCATGGGACTTTTGTTTCTTTTCTTATATGTCATTTACACGTAGGGGCAACAGTGACATTATAGTGAAGACCAAGTATCATGGCAAATATTTTTAAATACAAAACACACATATGGGAAAAAAATAACGTTCTGGTAAAAGTAAC